CGACCGGCCCGGAGCGGTGTGGTGGCCTCTACCTGTGCGCCTCTGCGCGGGCTGACGCACAGCGGCACCGTCGTGCTCGCTGCCGACACGGCGTTTACGTTGTTTGTGACTTGCCGACTCTTGCTAGTTCACTGTTGAAGGGCTGCCCCGGCTCCCTCCCCTCCCTGGTAAAACCTGTGGGAAGATGGACCAACTGGGCACTCCTCCTTCTCTTCCAAAGAAGCACAGACCTCACTTTTTTTCCGTGTAGCAATTTTTTCTTGGTAGCATCTGAAGCTCTGCTGGATGAAGTGCCTAATTATTTTGTAAACACTGTACTCTCAGGCAGGGTTAGCACTTGGTTCGTGTTACGCTTACTTTCACGTACTGTGCACTACTTTTAACTTACAGCAGAAATGAACTTGCTCTTCCATAACGAAAGATAATGACATATTAAAATGGTAATTGCTGAGTACGTGTGCTTTTATTTTTCTGAATACTCAGAAATTATTTTTTTATTTTTCCGTAGGGTTTTCCCAATAGAAAAACAGAAAAAATGTTCGATATTAAGGCTTGGGCTGAATACATCGTGGAGTGGGCTGCAAAGGACCCATACGGCTTTCTTACTACAGTGATCTTGGCTCTTACACCACTGTTCATCATTAGTGCAGCGCTTTCGTGGAAGCTTGCAAAAATGATTGAGGCCAGGGAGCGAGAGCAAAAGAAGAAACAGAAACGCCAAGAGAATATTGCAAAAGCCAAACGAACAAAGAAGGATTAAATGGGGAAAAAAAAAAAAGGCCTTCTTGTGCAAAGAATCCACTTTTTTAATGAAACGCTTGTATATTTTGTGTTGTAACTGTCCTTTGATACTTGATCCTGTTATTTCTTGAAGTATGAAATCTAATCCCTTCAGTGTATTTTTTTTCTCCTGAGATGATCTGTGTCAGTTTGCCCAAGTGACACTTGTTACAATCATTTACTCTACTACTCGTGTTCTAGTGCAGGTTGCTTTTCTAAATTTGCATGTTAAAAAATTAATCTGTTGGGTGGCTGTGGAGGTAGATTTTTTTTTTCCTTAGCTAAGCTACGACTTAGTAAGTGTCTTAAAATTGTCAAATTATGAGGAAAATGTGAATGGTAAACTGGATTACAGAAAGGCAAGTTTTGGTATACCTTCAGCAGAGCTGTAGAGATGAGCTAACTTCAGAGTTAGGTAGCGTACCTTACTGATTTCCTTTACGGACACTCCACGTGGCCCTGCGGTTCGTTCAGCTGTGCGCCCACAGGGTCTGCTGTAGCGTCTTCGATGGTGGGGCTTGGCTGCAAAAAGAAACTAACTTAGCTTTTCCCGTTTCCTAAACTACCAGCCATGAGCAGTCTTTAAATTCAGCCCGAACTCTAGGAAACCGATTGCTTGTTCTTGTGACCTTCGTTTGTCTTAGCCACTCATGTTCTATGAAATACACTACTATGCTGTTTGGTTTTCCTTAACGATCACCTGAACGCTCCACCTGTGACTAATTTGTTTCGGCTGTCAGAAACTTTTTATGCCTCAAAGAATAGCCATAAATGGGGTGAGACCAAAGGCTCCGGTGGCCTAGTGTGCTGTGTCCTCGTGACCTAGAGCAGGTGGCTGTGGGAGGGTACAGGAGCAGGATGCGCATGCTGGTGACAGTAGTTCTTCCTACGTGCTAACCTTCTGATCTTTGGGATCTTTGTTCTCACTGCCCTTGGAAACCGCTGCCTTCCAGGTTGCAGAATGCTGGCATACTGGAAAAAGTCCAAGTGGGGTTTGTGTTGTAAATACGCCAAAATTATTTAACCTTCATTCCAATTCATGTTTTTCTAACAGAACTGATTGATTTTTCAAAGCCTAACGTTTATTAATAGTCTAGTTCTAAAGAGCTTGTGGCAGTCATTAGGTTTTTAGACTTAGCGCAGAGTTGTGCTTTCTAGCAACTTACGTTTAAAAATAAAACCTTAAAGTGATACCATTGTTCCAATGAGGAGACCTATAGAGCTGGCTGACACAAAGGGGGATTAGGAGTGGGGAATCTTAACTGAAATGACAAAGTGAACGTGAAGTATTGTTGATCCTCTTTCAATTTTGTTGGTCAAAGCAAGCATTATTAGAATATGACATTTCGGCATTTTATAAATACATGGGATTAAGTCTCCAGTGTTTTGCCTCACGTGTTGTCAAATGTGTATGTGTTGCACCTTTGATACCTACATAGCTTAAAACACATGGAGGAGAACTGATGAAGGATGCACTGCATAAATAAATTTGATACTTTTTTCCAAAAAATTGAGTGGTCTTTATTTTGACTTGAAGTTCTCAAACACCATCTCTAAGCAAATAATCTGCACATTTTACGTATCTAAACTATGGCCAAATCGACCTAATTGTTTAGGGAAGTCCCCGCATACACCAGAAAAAAATCCTAATTTTATTTTTTTAATATTAATGACGGTCCCTTGTCCCCAGACCCTGTGTTATTTTCCAGCAGCTTTACCAAGTGCCTCTAACTTCTATTATAGTAGTTATATGTAGTTTCACTCAGCCTGATTTTATCCTGTGTTTACTGCTGGCTGCAAGTCAAACATTATTCAAACATGTTGATTGTTTTCTTAAACTTAAGTTACAAGAATGTCTCTAAGATTAATACAGTGCGTAGTCAGTGTAGTGTCGTAGTGATTCCTGCTAATGAAATCAACTTTTCCATCCACTGGCCAGAGGAAAGTGCGCTGGCCCTGCCAAGGGAATTAACGAGCATTCTGAAGAACTATCTTAAACTGACGCCTAGGTTTGGGAAAATTTAAGTGTACTGATTAACTAAAATTTATTACATCAAAAACAATTTTAAAAATAAATGAGTCTTCAATGAAAAAACAATTTAGAATTACTTAAGAAAATTAAGGTAGCTAGAAAACCTACCTATAATTTCATGAGTAACTGATGAAGAGCAACTGTCAAAAACAAACTTACTAACACATCCTGGTTTTCACGAAACCCAAACGTTTTACAGTAGTTTGTCATGATTAAGCCTACTTGAACAGTTCTGCAAAAATAAATGAAACTGCTTTAATATTTTTTTATTGCATACTCACTTAGTAACAGCTGTTTATGTTGTCTGTTAAAGTATTTATCCCTTAGCGCTATCTGTACATTGCAACTGTTTATTTATTATGACTACCACCACTGCCTGGTGGCATCCAGGAGCCTGGCTGAAAGCTACTCGCAGTGCTTGTTGGGTCTTGCGAAGGCTCTTTCTTTCCATAGTAAGGGGCTGAGGCGTGGCCTTTAACATGAGTATGAACTCGTTCAGCAACAAGTCCCTCTTTGTATTCCTTGGCCTGAAGCAGTTTATCCTTTTCAGAGACATCTCTGATTTTCTGTTTCATTTCTTCTCTGTAATTTTCATTCTTAAGAATCTCCTAAGAACACAGAAGAAAGGTAATTCGATAAATCAGAAGTAAATGCAATAGACAGTGTTGGAATAAAACATTTTAAGCAGTCGCTTTTTCTTAATTTTATAATCCAAATTTTCAGGTACGTAGGTAAAATAAAATGTGGTAAAATTAATTCTTTTCCTACAACTGCAATTTCAACCCTAGTTTAAAATGTTCTTAACGTTTTGATCATGCTGTTGAAGCAAAACTGCATTGTGCTGTGCCAGTTTCACTATTCTATTGGATCAAAAAGGAAAAGAAGTAAGCCATCAACAGATGTGAAAATGCACTAAAAATAAGGCTACTTTTTACATTGTTTTCTGTGCAGGACTTGCTACTACATCACTATTTATCACTTGCATTTCTTCCTGTAACTCACTATGGCTATGACTTTAGGTATCTGTGCCCCAGGGTGCAGTTATCAGAGAAACAGATGGGCAACCTTGGCTCTGCTACTACATAAGCCAAAGCCAGGCAAGATTAATAAATAAATAATAAAATAATAATTTTAGCTAAAATAATAAGCTAATAAATAGCTAAAAAAAAGCTAGGACAGAACTGAAACTACTGAGATGGTACTAGTAACTCAGGAGAAAAAACACTGCAGGGGGCGAAAAAAAGGCATAAAAATCACTGAGCGAAACCCTGCCCCAGGGACTCTGAAGACGGCTCAGTAAGGCCGAGGACCAGCATGGTCCAAGAAGCAAGGCAGGCCAGCCCATCCTCAGCTGACGACTGCTGGGCCAGCAGAGGTGAACTGGGTATTGTGATGAGGACACTAAGCACAACACTGCTTAGGCGAGCTGTATGGTAACTCTAGGTATCTACCAGGTGTGTTAGCTAAAATGAATGTACTGCATTCATAAAGGGTGTAAAATCATACCTACTGCCTCTGCACTGGTAAAAAATTCAAATAAAAGTGATCTAGTTTTAGACGTTTACCTCTACCTCTGATAAACTGAAGCAACTATCTATCTATCTGATGCATGCTCCTACTGCAAGGCCAAAAAACCCACCCAGGACATGTATTCAGAGAAGGCTCGTACAACTTGCTGATTCAACTTTGTGAAGCTCTGTACTGAAACATGGTTGGGTACAGGTTAAAGCTGGAAATTCACTAATAAAGATGACTTGAACTGGGATTTGGCTGCTTCCACTGAGAAATGCTGAGGCTGTTAGTTGAAGCAAGTACAATTACTGGCTTGTCCACAGGTAAACAGAAAAACAGCTGTTAGTAGACCTTGCCATATTGTTCAGAGGAAAACACAAAGCACTCCCAAAGTAAACACAAAGAAAAAAGCCCTGAAAAATACTGGTTTGGTTTTTATCTGTTAGCATATGTTTCCTATCAGAAGGATGATTTGCAAATTCTGCTAACAAGACTTCCCTGTGCTTTTGTTAGGGCAGATAGTGAGGAGTATTAGAAAAAAAAGCAGAAAGGTGATACGAATTTTTATAACACTTTGAACCCAAATACAACTTAACTGTAATAAACACCATGTAATGAGGAAGCTGCTAATACCCACATTTAGACTGGGATACAGGAGGAAAAAGGGTGAACAGCTTTCTCTGGATTACAGGTATATGGAATAGTTAAGGAGAAACTAGACCAGTACACTTCCCTCTGAGTAGAAGACCATGACGTTATTTTAGGAATGGCATTAAAATACATGTGATATTGCCAAGAGTTGACATAGCAAGTATGTGAACATTTAAGAACATTTAAAAAGGCAGTATTTAAAGAAAACCTTATCTTAGAGATATCATGAAAATTAACACCTTTTTCTGAGCCCTTAATTGCCTCTATCCTTAAATTCACAGATGCACAGAGCAGAGGCGAAACACTTCACATACCTATATAGCATGAAAATATACCAGCAGCACATAAACGACTTTGCAAACTGAAGGGGGCGGGAGGGAGAAAATTCTCCCATACTCAAATAAACATATTGCCAAGTGTAACAAGGTCAAATTTTCAACAGTCAGTTTAGCAAAACCTCATTATAACATCTCGCAATTCCGTCCTTGTTTACCACATGCCTGTATAAATCTACCATGACCTTATTGATTTCAGGGGGATTACTCCTATGGTGCTTGTATTACCCCACTACTAAGAAACAAGGTCATACACCTTTGTGATATTTGAAGACTGCATCATAGTCTCTGCTAAAACAGCATGAAATGATTTATTAAAATACGAATGTAATTCACTTACTGTGAACAGCTACTTACTAACTTCAAATCTTTTCCAGTGATTACTTTAACAAAGTTATCTTAGTCAGGTAATAGCAGCTGTAACTAAATTCCAAATGCTCCAAGTCCATTTTCAATGTTGATGTATAATTGTCATCTGGTTTTCAGACTCAGGTAAGGCTCTTTTAATCAGCTTTCACTGGCCACAGTATAGTTGTGATCTAGTAAAATAACCATGTTGATCTTGAAAAAAACATGAGGACTGATCCTCATTAGCAAACACAGAAAAAAAAATACTGAAGTGACTTGTTCAGAATCTTCTATACAATCCACACCAGGATAAAAATTTTTCAAGTTCAAAGTATCTGCACACATCCATTTTATGCATTAAATTCATGCCACTAATATGTACACTGAAATCAGGGTTCCTGTGCTCAAATTAAAGAAAATGTGACTCAGGAATCTTGTGTCAATTGGCACATTAGAAAAATTGGGTCAAATAGATGAGTTTTCTTAGCATAAACATCTTGTCCTTTGATACTGTCGAGTTTGTTCTGTGGAATTGTCTCACAGGCACTCAATCCTTCCTGTTTCTAATATTATCACCAGCAAATATTTCATTCTCAATTCTCACTAGAACATGTACTTTTTTTTTTTTTTAATATTGTGTTTGTATTTCTAAATACTATTGTCTCAATTCTCACTAGAACATGTACTTTTTTTTTTTATAATATTGTGATTGTATTTCTAAATACTATTGGTTCAATTACCATAGCCACTGCAGTTTGAAGCAGTTATGAGACTGAAGTTTCCCTGCCATTACAGGCATTTAAATAAAAGATCCAAGTAGTTCCAAATTTGAATAGGATAATCAACTTGGTTCAAAATGTAAATTTTAATGAAACTACTGCGTGCATATTTATAGAAGGGATTATCCTTAAAACACACTAGAAACGTGCAGGATCTTCATAACTAATCTTCCAAATTTGGCTTCAGTTTATCTGCATGGCTCACTGCAATTAAATAGAGTGAGTGTTAGAAAGGTTCCTCCCCAGACACCCTCCTGGTTCTACAGGGCTTCCCATCACCTGGTGAACAGCGGTAGAGAAGCTGACATCTGCTGGGCTCTTCCACCCATGACAAGTAGTCTGTAAATCTGCATGGCATCACAGGCTCTTCCAACTCACCTGCACACTGCTACATTTTCACTTTGAGGCTCCATTGCTACCCAACCCTTCACTGTTTGAAATACCATAAACACTGACTGGGAGCTAAAAGTCTTTGTTTTTTGGGTTTTTTTTAAATTACATCGGCAGGTTCAGAACATTTATCTTCTCTCCTCCTCCAAGATGAACTGAAATGTTTTATAAAATGGCTAGCTTCACTATAAACTGCCCCCCCAAACATACCATATACGTTTTCTGCTGAAATATAAGAACATGAATATGTAATGTGCTCTGACCTTTAGGGGAAATACAAAATCATTCTATCCAACACAGAGAACACGGTATCTACCAGGTAACTGCAGTTTTCTAAGGGTTA